TACATACTTCACACATCATACTCTATTTTTTATAGTGTAATGTATGGTACTTTTTTACTCTCTCTGTCCCATTAAGAGCTATGTTTGACAAAAGTATAGATTTTTTACTTTTGGAAGGTATACTTGTTATATACTCCCTCCGTCCCTTTTTAATCTTCCCCTTTGCTATTCACAGGGTCAAACTATATTTTATTTCTCTACATATTTTTGTTGATCATTTGATAAAATAATATAGTATGTCCCCTCTTGTTATGTAGAACATTTGATATAGTGTTTAACATAGTTATGAAAGGCGAGCGTCATGGTCGCCTATGGTGCTGTGGCGACCCTCCAGCACCTGAATGGTCCGGCGAGGTGATGTGTGAACGCGCGCCATGGCGGTTGCCATATCCGATGAAAGCTATGGCGCAAGGCGATCACAATTCATGCCTTTCTGATAGCGGCCAATTTTATTTTGTTTTTTCAACCCGTTCCTTCAGATTTGTCGGTGTTTTGCTGTATTGTTATTGATTAGCTGCTCTCTTTGCCGGCTTGTAATCGCGACTTGCTTTGCTGTATTGTTATTGACTATTTGTCCTAAACCTACCTGACCCGATCCAACCCAACCAGGCCCAGATTTCACTTATATCTTAAAATGAAAACCCTATCCTGTTTGCTATAAGCCTCCCGTCTGCATATATGGTTAGGTTTCAGTTATGATCTTTATTAAACTTTCAGTTTTGTATTTTTGTTTATATTTATTTGATTACATTTTTTTTATCATCAGTATTCCGAATCTGTTTTTTTTTGTGTGGAATTCTTATAACATAAATAAAATTTTTAAGTCATTTCATACATTATATTCAATTATTAATGGAATTATTTATTTTAGAATAACTAAGTGAACTAAATGTATATGTGTGTGTGTGTGTATATATATATATATATGCCTTTTTTGTTTGCCATTTGATCGCCCACCACCCGCCACGCCTCTTGCCACAAAAAAGGTCCTCTCGCCTGCCACTTCCCACTCGCCTTTCATAACTATGGTTTTTTAACATATACTCATGTCCCACTATTTTGTCCGTTTTTATCTTTTTTTGTCCGTCCTATTTTTTTCTCATACAGTCATACCACATTTGGTCATATTTTTGTGGTATTCATTCTTACTTTATTTTACTTTTTATCATTCATATCATCCACACAATCTTACTTTTCTTGATTTTCGTGTTTCAGTCAAGCTTCATAATTCGAAATGGAAGATTATTTAGGGATGGATGGAATATGTTATCTGTCGTAAATGATACTTAATTTTATTTGATAGTTTAACTGACATTATATATTAAACTGGTTACTCATGCTGTTTCAATAAACTTCTTAAAAATCATCTTCATTTGATCAAACAAGACTTATTTTAGGATGATAGTATCTTTTAGCGCACAGCCCTTGCCGTGGGATGGAGGGAATGAATATAGTTTCTAGATGCTTGGGTGATTGTCAAATCAAACACACCCAATCTATCTCGTTTGTGTGAATATTGAGGTGCAAATGATTTTTTAGTTATTTGTCTCAGTTATAGCTTTTAACATTTCTCAGATAACAGCATACACCAGAGATGGGATTAATAAAATTTCCTTGACGGGTGGTGATGCTCGCGTGTTCTGTTTGGGTGTCAGAATTGTAAAGCGGCGTACTCTCCAGCAGGTATCTGCTTTTATGTTTTTTGATAGAGCGAAATCACCTTACACTTTTGTTTTATGCATAATGTTGTTTAAAGTGTGGGGTTTTTGATTCACTTTTTTTGGTGATCGAGAGCCCCTTAATATTTAATGAGTTCATCCCTCTTTTTGTTCCTATGTCAACTTTGTGGCAACCTCATTACATGTCACCTCTTATTTGACTTTTGTCACAAAAACATGTGTTTCGACTGAAGGTGACTAGTTTCTTTTGCAGCATGTTGTGAAGTTTCCTTTTATATGTTAGTCGACTGTTTTGAGCATTATACTCCCTCCGTCCACAATTAATCTTCCCGCTTTGACCGGGCACGCAGATTTAGGTAAAGTGAAAATGCATTTGACTTTCCCAAATTACCCCTCTCTCATCCCTCACTCAACCAGCCTCCCTGTCACCAAACACCTCTCGACCAGCCACCCTACCTACATTCCAGTTTTCCTTCTTCAGCTCCTCACCGGCACCACCAGAAATCAATGGTCAGGACCTCGAGTTAGTCTTCTTCCTCTACGAATTGAACACCAGTGGCCGACAACCATCTATCTCGGTGGACAGAATCTATACAATTTTCAGATCTAACGAAAACAAGACTTACTCCTTTAGATCTGATGAAGTAGAAGACTCGATGACCAAAAGATTGAATGAAAAAGAATACTGAAATCATCATATCCATCCATGTGGATATCACCACAAATTAGAAAAAATGAAGAAAGGAAGATGGTGATAGGTTTAGTGGCTGGTCAAAATTGGTATGAGTGGGAAGAAGAAAAAGTGTTAGTACTGTAGTAATAAAGAAGAAGATGGGGCTGCTGGCTGGACACGATCGGAGGGGAGAGGAAGAGGAAAAGAAAGAAGATAAAAAGTGAAGAAAAGAAAAAGAATTGGGGGGTGGTGGAAAGGGAGTACGAAGAAAGAGGTAAAGAAGAAAAGAGAGTAGGCAGAAAGAAGTAAAGAAGATACGGAAGATATGGAGGAGATNATGAAGAAAGGAAGATGGTGATAGGTTTAGTGGCTGGTCAAAATTGGTATGAGTGGGAAGAAGAAAAAGTGTTAGTACTGTAGTAATAAAGAAGAAGATGGGGCTGCTGGCTGGACACGATCGGAGGGGAGAGGAAGAGGAAAAGAAAGAAGATAAAAAGTGAAGAAAAGAAAAAGAATTGGGGGGTGGTGGAAAGGGAGTACGAAGAAAGAGGTAAAGAAGAAAAGAGAGTAGGCAGAAAGAAGTAAAGAAGATACGGAAGATATGGAGGAGATGTATGAGGGTAAATAAGTCTTTTTAATACAAAATATTACCAAATAAGGAAATGGGAAGTTTATTTGTGGACGGACGAAAAAGGAAAGTGGGAAGTTTATTTATGGACGGAGGGAGTATAATTCATACTCATGTTCACTTCACTTGCCAAGAAAATGAATTTACATCTTATGTGAAGCTTGGAAGATGTGACCATCGTACCATGTGGATGCAATTCTTTTGCCATTTTTATGCTTTGTTTAATTTCTGCCTTTAGGTTCTTAACATCATCCCTAAAGTGTCGGATGGAGAGTGTTTTGATGATGCTCTTGCTCGTGTTTGCCGGTGTGTCGGTGGGGGAAATGTCACAGAAAATGCTGACAGTGACAGCGATATTGAAGTTGTAGCTGATTGCATTCCTGTGAATCTTCGATGTCCGGTAAGTAATTAAAGTTTTTAAGCAGCTTTGTGATTATTGTTGCAAAATCAAACACCAAATTTCCAGATTCAACTTGCTCAAGTTGGATGATACCATGCTTTCCCACATAGCTTTTGATGTTACTATGTGAATGATTTTTTTTTCCATAAAAAATATCTCTTCAAGTACATCTGATTTCTAAGTAAACATGTTCTGAAAACAATTTATAAATGTGACCATGGTCTTTGCTAAAAAGTTTGTAAAATTGCAATTGTCCCCCCTCCCACCCCACTTTATTTTCACCCAATAAAGTTATGGAGTATGATCTTTAATGTGATCTTGAAGATTGAATTTCAGAAATGTAATGAGCTCCACATGCATCTGACTGATGGGATATGGACATATGGTCTGCATGAAATAATGCTACTTTAATGTTCTAGTCATGTGTGAATTTTATAACTCAAGAAAAGCTTATATTTTATGATATCGTGATGTATGAATAAATTTCCACTTTATTTAGAATCTTATATACCAGTGTACTGTGGAATTGGCCATATTAAAAAAAACTGGCTTAGGCAAGATAATTGTCAACACTTTTTTCCCTCAAAACTTAGTGTTGTTACTACTCTCAAGGATTGTTTTGTTTACATAAACCTTTTTTTTCATGCAGCCATATCTTAACAGTTTTTTTTGTTGCACAGAAATACTATCTTTTATATCACTCCAATCAAACATGTTACAAACAATAATCAAAAACCTTTCTAGTCTACTACTTTTTGCAACATAACAGTTTGTAACGTAAATTTAATACTAGCTAAATATCTTAACAGTTTTATTTGTATATAATGCTCCAGATGAGTGGATCAAGGATAAAGGTTGCTGGGAGATTCAAGCCCTGTGTTCACATGGGCTGTTTTGATCTTGAGGTTTTTGTTGAAATGAACCAACGCTCTAGGAAGGTAACTACACTAAACAATGTTCTGTTTTGGGTTTCTGTTTTTGGGATTTCCCCTATTCTCTGTGTAGGGTGATATTTTTGTAAACTGTGCTGCAGTGGCAATGCCCTATTTGCCTCAAGAATTACTCTCTGGAGCATATAATCATTGATCCATATTTCAATCGAATTACATCCAAGGTAAGTATAGTTCATCATAACTCCCCCCCCCCCCCTCTCTGTAAAGGCTTGGTACCAATTGTTTCTCAAATTTGCATAATGTTTTGTTTTACTTCACTCCCTCACCCACCAACTGTCTCTTCACTTACTCTCAATTCAGTTGAAGAATTGTGGAGAAGATGTAACAGAGATTGAGGTGAAACCTGATGGTTCTTGGCGTGTTAAGATGGACGGTGACAGGAAAAGTCTTGGGGATCTCGGGCAGTGGCACTTGCCTAATGGAAATTTGTGCTTGCCCTCTGATGCTGCAGAATCTAAACCGAGGCCTGATATTCTCAAACAGATCAAACAGGAAGTTGGCAGTTCAGATTGTCGTGGAAGTCTTAGAGTTGGATGGAAAAAAGATGCTAATGGTGAATGGACACCCATATCCGGAAACAGATTACAACAGAATTTTGAACTGCTTGGGCAGGATATCCTTAGCAGCAGTGCCACTGTAAGTGGAAAAGAAGGAGATGATCCCAGTGTAAATCAGAATGGAAATGGGAATCTTGATTTCTCCACCACAGCTGGACTTGAACTTGACTCCATTTCACATAATATGGACCCAGGCTTATGTTTTACTTCTCAAAATCCATCTGCTCCGTCTGCAGGTGCTGAGGTTATTGTTCTTAGTGATTCTGACGAAGAAAACGAACCAGTAACAATACCTTCAGGAGCTATCTACAATGCCCCCAATACCGATGGTGGATCGATCTCTTTCTCTATCAATCAACAAGGAATTCAGGATCCTTACCATGGAGATCCTCCTTTAGCTAATGAAGGAAATTCAAGAATGGACGATTTTGATGTCGTTAGCAATGTAGATGCCTTTGGAATGCCTATTTGGCCTTCACTTCCCAATGCTCAGGGAGGTGGCTTTCAATTTTTTGATACGGACCCAGATGTCTCAGGATCTTTAGTTGATGTGCAGCATGATTCCATTAACTGTGCTACAACTAGTGTTAACACCTATGGGTTGACAACAGATAACACTTTGGGAGGATCTGCTGATGTCATGCCAGAATCTTTTGCTGGTCTTCATACAGTGGATATAAATGATGGTTTACTCGATAATCCCTTGGCATATGACGGTAATGACTCACTTCAGATATTTTTGCCTACTAGGCCCTCAAACACACCGGCAGATATTGATATGAGAGATCAGCCAGATGTCTCGAATGGAGGTGTTCGAAATGAGGATTTGATTTCCCTTAGACTCGGAGTCGGAGGTATGGGGACTCACAGTGGTCTTTCAGCTGATAATGGTTTTAACTCCATGCAGCAGCAATTGCAATCCAAGGATGGCAGCGATAGCTTGGATTCTTTGGCTGATACTGGTAAGGTCTACTTTTAACAACTCATGGGTGGATCTTCACTTTTACACCTATGTACATGCAAGTAATATTATCTTGATCTTATGTTTGAAGATGTTAGTTTTTGTTATAGTTCGTTACTTGTGATTATTTTTTTCTTGAGTTCTTTGAAAGTTCATATTGTGTCTCAAAATAGTTACGCCTGAAACAATTTTGTTGTCCCAAAAATAGAGTCCAGTATGTTTAAAACTAGTTTTTCACTTAATGTAAAAAATTCTCAAAATAATTGATAGTCAACTTTCATACACCTTCCATCCTAAATAAAAAGTCCAATTTTACTGGAGGATCATTGTGCTCAATACCAGAGTCTGGAGGGCATTAGTTTGCGTAACCGAGGTTCATCCTTGGCACAATGGCAACAACTAGCCCTATTTATAGCCGGATTACAGCCCCACTTAAGTGCGTCTACCCAACTAACCGATCTGCAATGTCTGATACGTCATGAATCTGGCCCACATGCTGGCCATCAAACCCTCCCTAACTTTGACACAGGTGAACTCTAAAACCCAGGACAGAGCCATTAAACATCTGACCCAAAGGAGAAACCACCAAATGGGTATCCACGGGCCCGAGTCTGCACTTAAGCTCGCGGACGAGCTCAAATTTATAGGAGGGAGTGATGTTACAGATCCTTAGTTATTACTCCCTCCGTCCCATATCTTTCTTCTCACTTTCCTTTTCGGGCCGTCCCATTTGATTCTTCTCGTTTCCTAAAATGGAAAGAAAATACATCTAAAGTTACTCTTTTACCTTACTTTTTTTCTCACCCCCCAATTCTCAATCTCATTACTCTCGTACTCCCCCATGTCTCCTTCTCTCTCTTATTCTTCTTCCTCTTTCTTCTCTCTTCTTTCTTTTTCTTCTTCTTCTTCCTTTTTTTTTCAACGTCAGACTCCACCCCCCCATCTCCTTCTTTCTTTTCTTCTTCTGATACCCTCCCAAGGTGGTGCGAAGGGCAGTGGTGAAGGGAAGGATGAACCTGTCAGAAAAAGCCTACAGATCTTAGCAGCACGGCGGGGATGTTAGATATGCAGTGGAGCTTTCAGATTTTCAGTGGAATTTCTTGATTAGTTTTTTTATTTCTTCGCCCCTTTGTCTCTATCTTCATCTTTTCACCAGTTTTCTTTTCAATTTCTTTGAGGAGTAATCTTAAATTTGACATTCCTAAGTTTGATGATATTTATTTTTGATTTTTTACATTGAGAGTAGGAAGGAGGGCTGGGGGTAGGTGGATTTGAGGTTGAAGAAGAAGAAGATGTTTGGGTTTGGGGTTGGGTTTGAGGACAGAGAGCATGGGTAGCATTTGATGCTGAAGATGGAGAACAAAGTGTTGGGCGAATTGAGTGTGGAGGCTCGACTAAGAAGGGCAGCCGGCCCTAGTCTTGGTTATGGCAGTAAATTAGGTTTTTAATTTAGCCGGCCCTAATTCTCTATGTGGGCTTGGGCCTAACTTGGGGATTAAGTTTTCAACCCTAGTTTAGTCTTCATAAATAGGGATCTCTGTACTTGTAATTCTGTGAGCACCTGAATAATAAAAACCCTAGTTGCAAAGTGGATTAGGTCAGCCGACCGAACCACTATAAATCTT